CCCCGGGGCAGAATCGAATCGAAACGGGAACTCATCGCAATCGGATCGAAGCGAATCGAAGGAGTCGACAGGAGCCAGGCGGGGGGGGGCAAGAAGTACCGATACCGCTACTCCCCGAACCTCTCCGGGGGTGCGCTCCGAGCAAGGTTCGAGGCAGATGCAGCGGGGGGAAAACGGGCGAGGGGTAGACAAAAAACAAAAAAAAAAAAAAAAAAAAAAAAAAAAAAAAAAAAAAAAAAAAACGGAGCCCTGGACCCCTTCTTCCTGTGTCACTCACTATTCGAGCCGGATCGATCTGTGAGGGTCCCGGGGCCCGACATTCAGTGAAAACGCCCGTGGTGAAAAAATCGTAACGCCAGGATTTCAGGGTCCGAGAGGGGGGGGGTGCGCAGCGATGACGAGGGCATCCCAGGAGGCCCAAGAGGGGGAAACCAAGCGCAGGATAGCGGTTCTGAATACCTTTTCCTCCTCTGGGGGGGACGGGGGGGGGCCTCCGAGTAGGGTGCGCTCGGGGGGGCCGGGGGGGGAGGGGGGCCTCCTCCAGGGGGGGGGCCTCTCGAAAAGCGGGGGCGCCAGGAGGCCTCCGCGAGGGGCCGCCCCCCCACCGAGAGGCCCTCCCCCCCTCCCGCCCCTGGCGGCCCCCCTGCCTCCCCTCCGAGGAGGCCCTCCCCCCGCGCCCCCGGCAGAGGGCGCCGAGGAGGCCGGCCGCGCCCCGCCCTCGGTGGCACCTCGCGGGAGCCTCCCGTGCCATCTTGTCGGCTCTTGCGAATCGGCGCTGATATCGACGCTCCATCGACGCTGATCGACGCCAGATCGACGCTCCAAATCGACGCTCCAAATCGACGCTCCAAATCGACGCTCCAAATCGACGCTCCATCGACGCCAGCCGGCGCTAAAGCTGCGCCATCTCCTCGACTCCCAGACGCCGGCCGACGCCGCTCGACGCCGAGGACGGACTCGCGAGGGTGCACCACTGGGAGCGGCCAAGAGGGGGGTGTCCAAGAGGGGGGGGTGCAAATCATGACCGGCGGCACGTGCGCGGCCCAGCGGGGGGGCCAGGGACGTAATGGAACAAGAAGAGGCGCCATGAGATCTGGGGAAATATCATGGCCCACGCCATGATATCCACCCCCCCCTGGTCATCACCCCCCTCTTTTCCGCCCCCGACACCAGGCTCCCACGACTTGCTGCCGACCCCCCCCTCCCTTTGGAGGCGGCCAGGGGGGCTGGGCCGGACGGGGCCACAGGGGCGCCCGCCAGGCGGGCTCCCAGGCGCGCGCGCGCGCCGTGGAGAAGGCAGGGCGGAGGCGTCTCGGCGCCTGCGGCCTCTCTGGGAGGGTGCGCCGCTGGATCTCCCCAAGGGGGGGGGGGTTGGGACCCCCCCACCCTTCCCCGACCCGTCGTCGGGGACCCCCCCCTTTTGGGTATTCAGGGAGATCCACTGGCGCACTTTCCCTCTCTGGGCCCTCGCCGGGCCCCGGGGCCGTGAGAAAGCGGCCCGGGCAGGGACGGAAAGCCCCCGGAGGCCGAAAACAGCGACACACCTCGCGTCGGGACCTTTTGTGGCAACGCGAGGATGCCTTGGATTCGGGGGCGCGCAAGCATGGATTAGCGATCCATGGATCCGACCCTCCAGAATGCGGCCAGTGCCGCCTCCTTCGGCGGCGGAAACCGCGATTCCCCATGGAAACGGGACCCGTCGCTAATCCACGCCCCCTTAATCCATGTTTGCGATCGCCTGATGGGATGGGGGCAGGTTCGCTCAACGTCTGCCCCCAGGGCCTCTCCAGGGGTCGACGCCGACCAGCTTGCCGAGCCGCCCCCAGCCGTGGCGACGAGGGGAGCCCTTGCTCCCTGCCACCGCCTGCTGGCTGGAGCTACTGCTGGGCCACCTCGACCCCCCGTCGGCTCCAAAACCCCAGACCCCTCTCGAATCATGCAAAAACCACGACGGGAGGTCTTTCACTGTTTTCGGCCTCTGAGGGCCCCCACCGGACCTCGGCACCGTCAAAAAGCGACTCGGTCTGGAAAACTGGTCACGGGGCATGGGTCCGAGCCTCTGGGGGTCGCGTCACGAAAAAAGCATGACGTCGGGGGTCTGGGACACCCCCTCGCGCCGAGGTGCGCCACCCCCCCTTTTGTGCGCGCCGTCGGTGCCTGGCGAGGACCTGCATCGCCACCTGCTCCATCGGGCTCGATACGGCCCTCCACGAGCGGCAAACGTATCCATTCCCACGGGGAAGACAAAAGGTACCGATGCCGCTCCTCCCCGAACCTCTCCCAGGGTGCGTGCGCTCTGAGCAGGGTCTCGAGGCGGATGCAGCGGTGGCGACGAGGGCCTCCCAGGAGGCCCAAAGGGGGGAAAACGAGGGAAGGGTAGCGGTTCTGGGTACCTTCTCCTCCTCTGAAGCCATGCCCTCGCAGCCCAGACTCTGGGGCGCGAGCCCGTGGATGTTCCCCGTCGCATGAGCGCACGTTTCGCACAGGGCGGCACCTGCGGAAAGAAGAGAAAAAAAAAAAAAAACAAAAAAAAAACGCCCCCCGTCCACGGGGGTTTGCGTCCCAGGGACCAGCCCGCAAGGCTGGTGGACACGGATGGGATTTCCGCCCACGGTCCACAGATATATCATTGCTTCAAAGCCGCGGCCCTGACCGCTTCCTGGGGAGCACAGGGCAGCTGGATGAAGTGGAAGCTGGAAAATCAGTGAGAGTGGAAGTGGCCAGGGCTGGAAACACTGGCAGGGAGCGAAGCGAGCCCGAAACAGTAGGGATGCGGTCGCCAATGCAGGAAAAAAAGAAACTGGCAAGGGCTGCGAAGGGCTGGCCGCAGTTACGTTTTCCGGCTTCCATGTAGTTTTTCACACCAGATCCGTTTTTGATGGCCCCGGGGCCCGAAAGCAGAGTCGAAGAAAAACGCCCGGACTGAAAAAGATGTCGTCGGACCAGTGGCTGTCGGGTCACAACTCAAGTCTCCAGCGACCGATCGGGACGTCCCCCCAGAACGCTCTCGGCGAGGCGCAGCTGCCGGAGAGCATCTTGAGGCTGGACACCGCCGAGAACCAACGAAAATGCCCGATAACCTCCCCCCACGTTGCCCCTGACCTCTCGAGGCTCGCGACGACCCTCCCGAGCATGCACTTCGAGCACACCGGCAGGGGCTCCCAGCGCTCCGGGGCGCCCGCGCCGGCACAGCCCTGGGTCGCTGCAGCCACCGCCTCTGGCCGATCCCGCCAGGAAGGCGGCGCGCCGCCAGAGCTACTCCGCGCCCGCGTCCTCGACTCTGGCTCCTCGCGAAGAAGAGAAGGCCCACCAAACCTTCAGGGCGGAGGTGGTCTGGAGCGCTTCCTCTTCCACCCCCCATTTCTGCCTTTCGGGCAGGGGTTCAATCACTGCTCCTCATAAGCATACACCCTCCCCACCGAACTGGGGGCGAACCCGGAAACTTGACAACACCCCGCCCCAGCACCCCTGTCAACAAAACTATACGAATTGCACGGCGTGACAGCGATCATGCGCGGGCGCCTCGCAATCACTTCATATTGTTATCTGGCGGGGATGACGGGGATGCCCTCGTATGCACGGCGCACCTTCGCAGGCGTCGCGGACCTGGCTGGCGTGTGCATTGGTTCCCGATGCTGGTCGATGAGAAGCCCCGCCGCCTTCTGAGAAAGCCTTGTCCTTCTCATTTCCCCCCTGGGCACGCCACTGAAGCTGGTTTGGGGGTCGTAACTCGGCTCTCCGGTGGCCGTTCGGGACGTTCTGGGCACCCCCGGAACGCTGTCAGCGAGGCGCAGCCGCTGGAACGCATCCTGAGGGCGGAAAGCCGCCAGCAAACCACAAAACACCCGAAAACCTCGAACCCGAAACGACGAAACCCCGCCGCCTTGTCGCTCGCCCCCGAGTGTCGAACCTCGAACCTCGAGTCGAGGTCCTCCGCGGCCCTGGGCGGTGGCACCGCCTCGGCGCACCTCGGGCCGAGGGCGCTCGCCCCTCCCACCCGCAGGGCAGCCTCGGGGGCGGGCGCGCCGCCCGCGTCCGCCTGCCGCAGAGGGGCAGGGAGGTGCATGCCCGTCGGTCGGAAGAGGTGGGCAGAAACATGAAGAAGGAAGGCGTGGAGAAGGGGGAGGAGGAGGAGGAGGAGGAGGAGGAGGAGGAGGAGGAGGAGGAGGAGGAGGAGGAGGGCGGAGGAGGAGGAGGAGGAGGAAGGGAGGAGGAGCAGGAGGAGGAGGACGGAGGAGGAGGGAGGAGGAGGAGGGCGGAGGAGGAGGAGGACGGGAGTAGAGGAGGAGGAGGAGGAGGAGGAGGAGGAGGAGGAGGAGGAGGAGGGAGGGAGGAGGAGGAGGAAGGAGAAGGGAGGAGGAGGAAGGCGAGGAGGGGAGGAGGAGGACCAGTGTAAACCCAAGAGTCATCAACGATGTTGGAATAAACCCTGCCTCCAAGCTCCCTCTTCATAGACCCTACAACGGTTCATTTCCATTGAAGGAACTGCCTCGTTCGAAAACAACCGTTTGAAGACCCTGAAGCACGCCAAAACGTTGTTCTCGGGATTCCAACGCATGGATGAACCTGGCTGTTGCGTCTTGACGATCCTGAATCGTGCCAGAACGCCATTCCCGGGACTTCAACACAGCGAATCAACGTAACTGCTGCACCCGCATAACCCTGAATCCTTTCAAAACACCATTTCCAGCACGTTGATGATGGGAACCCGTGAAACTCTTGCAAATTTTGTCGACGAATGTGCGCGGCGCGGCGGCGAGAGCCAAACTTTGAAGATGAATGGCCGTCAATTCGTAAAACTCTTGCAAATGATTAAAACGACTGTGCGCCGCGCTAAGGCGAGAGCCACATTTTGAAAAGGAACCGCCCTCAATCCGTGAAACTCTTGCAAATGTTTAGAAAGAATGTGCGCGGCGCTAAGGCGAGAGCCACAGAATGAAAACCGCCCGCCCTCAATCCGCGAAACTCTTGCAATTCTTGAAAAAATGAATGTGCGCCGC